TCCTTTCTACAAGGGACTACAATACCGGTATGGACTGTTAGTCGTCTGTGTTGCACACATTACTGTTGTTACACCATTTAAAGTCAACAGTAGGACTTCACCTCTAAGCTTCCATCATAAAATAATCTCGGATGACAACTGCTTTCAGCTTCACTGATATTCGACAGACATTCCTGAGAGAGTAGGACATCAAGGAGCAAAGGTGACGACTAGTACAGTTTGTCGGGTCATTGTGAAATACAAGCACAACCATCCCTTATAAGTCATAACTATCGATCGGAGGTCGTTCACTACCTTTAAATACTAGACATCCACCAACCAAAAAGAATACCTTAGATTAAACAGTTACTCACAGGTTTGCTTGTTGTCCTGCTTTTGAAGTTACTTAATATGTTTTTTAGTCGAAAAATCCCCATTATGTCATAAAAGAAAAGACGTTTATCGAAGAGTCATTTTCAGCGATATCATGCTTAAGCTTTACAGTCACATAAATATTCTATGCACATAGTAACAAAAAAGGAATGTTTCATGAAATATTCTGAACGAAGTTCAGATTTGATTACAAATTAGGATATTGGAAAAAGAATCAAACTGGGGGAGCTACGGAAATCAGTTCATATTTTGAAGTCTGAATTCCGCCTTTAAAATAAATTTTTCTAGTCACTTGAGTTGCAATTGACATGGCCTATAAGAACATTTATACTTCCGAAATCTTTTCATTCAGATCTCACACATTAGATTCCTTTACTTCTATAATTCTGATTTCTCTTTACATTCAGCAGTCCCTTTCACCATATCAGATCATTTAACTTAGTAACAAAGTATTCCTTCAGTTTTGATAAGTCTTCTTCTCACTACTATTTCAAACATTACATACTTCTTTTTCCGATCTCCTGATTTGTAACTAAGTCCTAACTCCGCTCAAAATGTTTCGTGAAATATTCATTTTTTGTTATTATATGAATAGAATATTTATATGGGATTGTACAGCTTGAGAATGATTTTGCTGAAAAGAGTGACTCTTCGCTAAGCGCCTTTTATTGAATAGTATGTTTTTATCACATTCAATTTATAATGGACTGTGATAATTTCATAGGAGGTCATTTACTAGGTAGAAAACAGGCAACTTACATCCAATAACCGTTTTGTCAACTTAATCTCTATCACTACTGTGATGCTTTGAAAAATGTGAAGGGTAACTAGTTTAGTCAAACGACGATGCATATATCTTAGATCGGCAGCACCGCTGAATTCTGGATTAAGAAATTTAGATGCTGTCTAGGAAACTACTAGCACCATGGTTTTTGGATTTCTGGCAATAAGTTGCGTGCAATGCCAAGGCTATTTATGCTCCCACTCACTGCTGATTTAATGATCTAAAGATCAGTCCTCAGTGATGAAGACGTTTTATTTAACGGCTTTTGCAGACGATCTGGTAGAATGCTTGAATTTCGGGTTGATATTCATCATGCACTGACAGCAGTTGAAGAAACATTGGAGACCTGGGATCACTGAACGGGTGTTTCGTCCTAGTATGGGACTCCTCAGCATTGCACACCCACGACGTCACCAAGAATCGAACCAAGGATCTTCAGGTTCCGCCGCCAGCACGTCACCATTAAGCCGCTGGGTGTGTCAAGTGGTCCATATTTCCTACTGGTAAGTTCACAATACGGTGTGACCTCTATCCAGTGACAAGTTTGGTCCCTGGAGGGGTCACGGATGTGCACTGCTGAGGAGTCCCATACTAGGACAAAACAGCCATCCAGTGATCCCAGGTTCCTAGTGGTTCTTTAACTGATGTCAGTCAATGGTAAATACGAACCTGAAATCAGTCAATAAATCCCCACACACCTCCGAAGAGAATGGTTGAATCTTTGAAACCTAGTGACCCTTTTCAACAAAAATTTGTGATGCAGATAAATCACGAAATTTCTCATTACTATCTAATTCCTAAAAGACTATTTTACCGATGATAGTGAGCAGATCGTATTGCTCACGGTAGTACTAAGATCTGTGATAGAATTATACTCTACCAATTCGCCTAAATTCTCTCTACACTGTCTGTTCACCCGATTTCTTTAGAAGTCTAGGCAGGTTTCCAGACACGTCACAACTGCAGCAAATTTTCAGGAAGGCATAATTCATAAGGGTTAGGGGTTTTGAATGTATTACGAAATCGCAAATGGTTTCGGCAGGTACATTCCGAAGTAATATTATTTAGGTATGCTTCATACTTTTAATGAAACAACAACATCATGCTTCATACTAGCTTCTGATTCATGTTTCAAAATAAAATTTACGCACTCAAGTGTTTTTATATGTCGAGGAATGATTATTAGGCATTCCAGGCTGTTTCAAAAGGGTAAATCCCGTAATCATCTGGTGAATAAGAGTTTGGATATCGAAAAGGAAATGAATGACAACATACTTAAGCAACCAGTCGACTATGGCCTTTGTTTCATATCATCTAAATTAGCGAATTTCAACACGTTACAGACAAATCATAGAGTTATGAAAACTCATGTATAATATTGCAAATAGATTCAAATCAAAAAGAATAAATTAAGTATTAAAAAGCTTGTAATACTGATGCACAAAATACTTGCGAAATGTCTGAATTTTGTAATGTGAAGTGAACTACATGGATTACAACAAACCAGTAAAAAAAATCCTCAACATTACAGAATTGTTTTAATGTGAAAGATCAAAAGTTGATTGCATACATCGTGTGTGTATACTGCAGTAAACCTTTAATGAACTTCCACTTACTAAGCAATTATCAAAGCTTAATGAGAATTTGATTAACCTTGATTTATTGTAGTGGCTAAGAGACTTCTTGTGTAGTTAAAAATATGTGGAAGTAAATACGTAAGTCGTACGGAAAAGCAGGTGTCTACTTGTGTATTTGAGCACTTCACGTGAAATGTCCATTAAAGTAGGATAGACTAGAAAAATGGTTAGTGTGGTCTCATCTAGACGTATCACTAGTCCACGAAGTCTGTGACAGCTACTCTGCGCTGTGTATGGAGGTGTTAACTGTCTGCCTAGGATAGTCAAGCTGACAGTAGTCAATGCTTAGGGACCTTCGGTGAAGTGGCTGAAAGTCGTTTACAATCGAGCAAATGTACTGACTATTTGATGTCTTCTTAAGCTTGATCATTTTCAATTATCTTGATTCTCAGACTTCCTATCCTCTCATTCATCTTTTTCTACTTGGATAACGGTCTTTTTCTATTCACTTATTCTGCAAATAATACTTTAAAGTGTGTTAACATGAACCGATGCATTGTGTGCGGAATTCTATATTGATTTTATCTATCCGTCAGTAAATGTGTATACGTTAAAATTCGAATGAGTCATTAGCGGCGAATAAGGTATGCTGTCAATTAGAGGGGATAACATAATGTATCGATACCTATTATTTAAAATAACCACTGCGAACTACCACGGAAAGGTCACAATGGACTTTAGACGAATGGTGAAGATATGTAGTACGTTTGTAGTGCATCTTTTTTGGGGGGGAGGGGGAGTGCTAGTTTTGAAATAAATAAACGTGCAGAATATCCGAATAATAACTAAAGAATCTTTTACTGCATCGACGAATGACCTTAGTTCTCTAAGTTTGTTGAAGCGTATAGGCATCCACCCGTTGATATTCGCCATTTTCAAGTCTTCTTTATGCTGGTCAGTAGCGACCAGCTTAGGGTCTCTGGCTTAGCCAATAATAGACGCATACGTTGACGTAAACTATTCGAAAAATGTGGTGTATTTGCGCTATACATTTTGAACAATCTGATCTCACATTTACTTGTTATGGCATATAGAAAACTCCAAGTGGGGGAAGAACAAATATGATACGAAAAAACTCAATGGTAAGGCTTAGCGTAAAGACAAATTGCTTAACACATACAATCGGGGGTGGGGGTGGTAAATGCCTTTATGGCTACTGCCTCAACAAACTTAAGTATAAGCCCCTGAGAGTTTCTATGCAAAATTGTAAAGGCTGTTTTAATATCAGTCCAGTGACCTTTATCAACGATATGTTTTGCAATGAATGATGATAGTTGTCCGACACCTGCGCTTATCTATGTTTGTGCTTTTGTAGCCATTTTATTACATATTCGCCTACCCTCAAGCGTATACCACGATTAGTCCTCCCTATGTATGTTTGTCCACACACACACATAAATTTATCAACGCAGTGAGGTGTGACGCAATCGTTTATGCCCCGTTAAAGTCTACGTTGAAGCAAGTGTTCGGCCTTCCCAGCTATGATAAGCTTAGATGCATAGTACGTCTTGCTAACAGTAGACCTTGACCTCCATTTCTTCGAAACAAAGTAAAGATTAAGTTTCATTCCTGGCTGATTTTCGCAGCGGTTTATAAACTTCAGTGGATATCCATTTTCCACTAATGCTTCCATTAGTATTTTGATATCATCATCTACTGAGTCTTCTGTACAAATACGTTGGATCCTTTTAAACAGGCAAGCTACCAAACCTCGCTTGTGTATTTCTTATCATTGAATCCTTTCATGTTACATTTGTCCTTCCCCACTTCCAGTTTCCATGTATGCCTTAACAAGTAAATGTGTGATTAGATTGTTTGAAATGTATAACGCAAATACATCACATTTTTCAGATAATCTCCGTCTTGTAATTGTGTTATCCAAATTCACAAAAAGGACTAGTTGTTTCTGATAAGTTAGCATCCTTTCCCTAATAGAACCTCTGAATCTCTGAATAATAAACGAACTGTTTGTTTGAGTACTTCTTAACACATGTTTTCTGATTTGCCTTTTGTTAGTAGTACTTACATGTAGGTAAGGTACTGGTTAGTTGGATACTAGCGTAGATTGATTTAAGCACGGCTAGTGTTAGACATCAGTAACACAAACAAACCAGCCTTAAACGTTCACCTGCGCTTATTCGATGGGATATTTAGCACTGTATGTCACGACAGTGCTTTAAAGCTGTAAAAAGTACTCACTTTGTGCCCAGGAAAAGACTTCAGATTCTAAGAACTAGTAAAACGAAATCAAACAAAGTGACAAGACTATAAATCTTGTTCATAAATGAGTTGAAATTATTCTTTTTTCAACAAAGAGGAACATACGACAATTTGATCAGAACAGTTACATTCATTTATAACTAATGAAGGTATGATATGTTTTCACTTATTTGAGTTTTGTAGATGACATTTCGGTAGGAAGTCAGAAGAAAGTTAATAATGCTTCAGTCAATAAATGTTTAGTTAACTACTAATTTTTGTAAGGTTGTTACCGCCTGGAACTCTTCGTTTGAAACATGCAGCAACGAATGCTTTCTTATTCATATTCGAAATAAAGTTTGATCAGTTAACTGATTTTTATGACCAAGTAACCCATACTTTTCATTAACTTGCCTTGACGAAGTGTGACTTTTCTTTATCATAAGGCAGGTTACAGCTATATTTTGGTATTTCTTTATACGTAAAACGATACTTGAACAGCATCCAAGACAATAAAAATGCACTAAATGGTCAAATAAAGCCCACTTGTAGAGTCTTCTCTCTAACCGAAAAGCCAAATTCTGAAAATTCTATGTAGTAAGGTCCTTATCTGAATATTCACAAGAAATACTCACTACTTGAATGGATTATTTAATGATCATGTGTGTACAAAATACATTGTAAGTATAGAATGAAAAAAGTTATCATGAAAGTTTACAACTGATATTCAAAAGACTTGTTCTCAAATGCTTCATTTCTACGAGAACGCAAATGCGCATGGAACTTTATAGCTTGTATTTGAACCATAAGTTTTAGGACGAAAAATCCAACTACGGACTCAAAGATTATGAATATGAACTCAATGATGTGAACAGTCCTCTCAAATGATGACAATATCATATGTGGATTGAACAGCAGGAAAGAAATAGCTGGAAGCTGAATTAAAACAGTCAGTAACCAAGATCCAGCTAATTCAGGAACCTTAGGAACTGAAACAAATTTAATAACAAAATACCAATTCCATCAAATTGCCGGCATAACCGAGATAAAGTCGAAGTCCTTCCAATACAGAATACAAAGCAAATATGGATGTAGTGATCACTTTATAAACTGGGTCCAAATATGCAAACTGAACAATCACTAGATAACGATACCATAATCTTCAGTGATTTACCTCTATCACAAGTGTCATCAATGTACCCAGGAACCAAAAGGGTGCATACAAGCTGTTAAAATAGAATGCCATTTGCAAAGGAAGGTTTGTTACATATTCATAGTCTGCAGAATGTTTCGAATCTATGTCAATACAGCAATTACAACAATACCTTTGTGCTTATTTTTCGAGTAGAGAACCCCATGTTCACTTCTGCTCAGGAACATGTAATCGACTACTGACTTAACAGCGCCTCTAACTTTACTTGACATAGTAAGAAAATTGAATGTGCAACAAACTTCGTAGCGAAGACCACAAACAATACATCCTTCAATGTCTTCAGCTACATCCAACATTGATAGTGCAAAAGTAGAGAACTGTTAGCCATTGATCCATGGAGTCTAGTTTCTAGGGCTTTGTTCTATTTGTTCAGGTTGCTTTTGCGTTAGGTGAGGAAATGTCTCATGCTCTGTTTCTTTAGCTACTGTGAGGCGGATGTTTTGTAGGTTAGTAAATTGCAATTTGTAGAAGGATTAGGGATCTACCGGTTACTAGGAAGATCAGGAATTTGTCTGACTCCCTCCCGTGTAGGAATAGCAAGATAGTGAGGAAACGTATGCAGGAATTACCCGAGGGGTAAGTGTGTATAGCACGGATCTAGTTGCGAAAGAAGCATCTCTGTTTAGTGTTGGGGGGAGGGGGCAAAGGTATTGAAGGTGTCCAGGTGCATTGGTAAGTAGGATTTGGAAACTGAGAGAAGCAGTTCAGGGATGAGGGCGAAAATCTGTCTACTCAGAAAGTGCGACGTGGCGTTCTTTCTGGTTGCTATGAATTTGTAGTGGGGGCTGGTGCTCAAGGTGCTGGAGAAGTTGACCCCTAAATCTTATTCTGTGGATACCTTGGTAATAGCACGACTGCCCAACGCGTATTGAAAGCAGGCCGTATTCGCTGCATAGGTACTGATGTGTACTACTTTCCGCTTCACAGGTTGAAGCTCGAACCATTTTTCGACGACCAGAGTTCAAATCGCTGCAGGTCGTTTTGCAGTACCATGCAGCTGACTTCTTTGTTTACTACTCTCCAAATTTCAAAGCCATCAGCAAAAACGAGGATGAATGAGGGGATTTGGCGTGACAGGTTACTTACAGGCAGGAGAACAGAAGTTGTCTTGGGGCTGCCCTCTGAGATACTTCTGACTTCAACGGCCTCCACTCCGATCGTATTCTGTTTACCTCGGTGCGGAATACCTACATTCCAAGTACTCATTGGAAGATAGGGGTTCACTTAAATGGGCTGATATGATCTTGTGGAGCAGGACCGTAACTGAAACACTGTCAGATGCTTCAGCTAGGTTGAGAAAAACAGCACGTACCGGTTTCCTGTTGTCCCAGCCAAGTGTTCAGTCGTCCCAGGCAGTTGGCAAGTTGGTGGTCCATGAACGACCACTTCGAGAGCCATGCCGAGTGTTATGAGCGTTATTTACCCTGGCAAGGAATTCCCAGACCTCGTCGGCTATCAGCCTTTCTAACACTTTCGACGGCATGGGGAAGGTGGCCATTAGTCCGTAGCTACCAGAGCCTTTCTATATATTCCCCCGAAGACAGGGAACAATATGGCAGACTTCCGTTCGTTGGGGAGTTTGCATAACTCTGGTGAATGCCAGAAGAGGTTGCAGATTGGTTTTGTAAGCACCCCGGAGCAGCATTTCAGGAGGCCGGTTTCAGATTACCGCAACCGCAGGGCTTACCTCGACCCAGCCTGGGTACTTTCACCGATACCTTTTAGTCTGTTATTGGGGTGTGACAGAGGTGTTCATTATTTATTGTCTTGTCAATGTCGTATATAATCAGCGTATATTTGGTGTAAGCACCAAGTTGAGCTTGAAGGCATAAGCGCAGAATCTCAGCTATCTCTAGATTGCTTAGTACGCCCCATCAGCACCTGCGATAAGATTCACTGCCTTGTTGGTCTACTTCCTTTAGGCGTGAAATAGTATGGTATTCAACACTTCTTCGATATCCAATATCTATGGGTTGGACGCAACTTACCTACTGATTTTAAGCCGTCTCATTTTGATCTCGAGGCTGCGTTTTGATCTAGCCTTACTTTCTAATTTGGTGTAGAAGTCTTTTTTGTCCACTTAGCTCTGTTACGACACCCGACCTAAGTAGTGCAAGTATATGAAACTGGGATCATGAGGTCAATTAGATCGTCTTATTTCGTTCTGCCACTATAGTGTGCACGAAAGTCTCTCCTACCTTACTGCTTTAGCCCTGGTCAGCCGAGTGTCTTTTGTAGTCAAGCATATGGTACTTGTGGGTAGAGTTGGTGAGAAAGCAATGTGTCGCTTGGAAGATTGAGGGATTTTCGTGAATCCTATCTGCATATTCGCATGAGTGAGACTATCTAGATAATGAGAAAGGTTTGCGGGACGTTCCGGGGGACGAAAGTCGACAGCGTAGGTTTAGTTAACCAAGAAGAGTTAGATGTGACTGTATCGAAACAAAAAGATGATAAGTGGTAAGTCAGAAGAAAGTAGTGGTGTGCTAATGACATCGGTGGTGTCCTCAGTGCGTCGTGAATAATCCTAACAAAATAACACAATTATCCAAATTGAATAATCATACTTTGAGAGAGGAACCTTCACAAATGGAGAGCCTCCTGACCGCACATACCAATAGGGGGAAAAAATTCACCGTCTGATGTGCCCTTACGATAGCTTCCATTGAATGACTGCTATGCTGCAGGTGAGGAAAAATAAATGAAAAAATGTTCCATTCTCAAATCAAGAATTTAGCACCAGAGAAGCCGGTTTACAGGCACCATGAAATTGATAATTGTGGAGAAATCTCCATCAATTGACCTGTCTCGAATGACATAGAAGGCATCACATCAAGGTTTGTCACAATATCAATAGTGAATGCAGGCTGTGAGAAGAACAAGGAAATATCACTTAACAGCACATACACATTTTTTGTGAGTTCCGATCGTTTCCATTCATCATCCTTTTTACACCATAAAGTGGCACAAAAATCGCACAATGTCCGACATTTGCGTTCCATGTGGCCGAGACGATCAGCCTGGCGGTATAGTCCCGTATATCTTCAGATAGACGTTTATTTTAACATATGTTTAAATGCTTATAGTATCATCGGCCGACGAAAACTCACTCCATCACATTCAGGTAACAGTAAGTGCTGACAAAACCAGGTATGAAAGAACTTGTAGCGTCACACACTTCCCCAAAATCAGTAGCCTAGGTTTGACGACTTTCGACACCGATGCTGACCTTGATAGTTTAACTGGACTCGCTAAGCTGAAGGCACCCGGTCAAGCATCCTCGCCATTTGGCACGCTGTCGTGTTACGTTGCACTGCTCGTATTCGACTCTCTAGCCAGTTAGTTGGAACGCATCGGTATTTTGGCTTAACCATCCAAATAAACTATTCCATCCGACTACGCTATCATGTTCTTCCTTGGTCTCGTATTCGTGGGTATATAACGAGTTCGAATAATCAGTGATTGGTCTTTGCGTCTGTCAAGTTCGCACCAGGACAAATCCTAAAAACTAATTGAGGAAGAAATTACCTTGCACGTTCATCTTACAACACTCAGTTTTAGCTAATAGTTTGTGATTACGTATACTGTAAGTGGATGTTACATATATTGTAATTTCCGGGCTGTGTGAGTAAATTTGCTCACAAGGTAGTCCATGGTAAAATACAAGATTCATTCTAAGTCGACTCTTCCAGACAGATTCCAGTCCTAATATGTTGCATCTGAAGATGTAGTCAAGGCTGCAGTCAGCTCCTAGTGTTCTTAATGTAAAGTGGCGCTGTGTTCCTTCTGTCTTTAATTTTTCATCTATTCGAAAGCTACTTACGACAAGCGAGCGGCATTCTAGAACTGGACGGATGCACGCGTTTTAGAGCAGGACCCTGTTTTCGGTGCTGTTGAAGTTACGTATGATGCACCTTAGGAGTCTACGCGACCTACTTTCTCTGTACGCTATGCGCTCAGAAAGATTCAAGTCACTGGAATCCCTAAGTTCTACGTCTGGGACAGAAGTAAATTTTGTTAACGGTTGTCCAGATACTTCAAGTATCAGGTCAAGGCTACTGTTACCAATGCAGATCCATCAGCAGTTGTTGATGCTGAAATATAGAGAGGCGTCATCACACCAAGGAGAAAGCTTTTCTGGTTCATGTCGAATAAAAGTCAAATGCCACCTCGCACATGACCATTACAAGGGAAACGACTTTTAGGTCGTCGGCACTTATAACAGCGTCTCCCGCCGCAAAGCAGTTGCAAACACCGTCAATGCAGATAATAAATATAAGATGCCTGAGAACACTACCTTGCACAACTCCACTTGTGATGCATCTTAGAGTAGACCGAGCTGGGCTGGTTTTTGTTATTTGAGTCCGATTACTCAGAATTGATTTTAACCAGCTTAGAAGGGGGTTGCTAATACTTAATGCGTTCAAATTTTCGGACAGTATATCGCGCAAAACCACACCAAATATCTTCGATGTATCTAATTAAAGTCCAAGGACTATTTTGCGTGCCTCACACTACTGGTAATGAGGCTGAAGAGACCAAAATGACGCGTAATGTATGATCCGTTTTACACGAGGGCGTGCCTAGATTTTGTCATAAAATCTTCTGCAAGCAGGAATTCAGACATACTATGTTTTACAACTTTCTCCATAATTCGTGATGGGACTGGGGCTATATTAACGGGACTGTGGTTGCTGACACTATCCTTAACCCAGGTGCGTAGTGCGGAACTATAAATCCAGCTTTCCGTCCAGTTGGATGCACTCCATTTTCCATCGAGGGAGTGAACAACTTAAACCAGATCAAGGGAAGGTCCTGTCCACTATCCCTCAGGGCTATTGAATCGAGGCCGTCTATTCCCATTCGTTTTATAGGCCTCAGGCTTCTGATGGCTTCAGCCATATTTCTGAAGGTAAATTCCGCAGTCACAAAATGGATGCTGTAGAGTGGCATCCTACCGATAAGAGCATGTGCCTCACAACTGAAACTTCATAGCCAGTTACTAAGTAGTTCATAAATCATGACTAATTCGCAGCAGACTACCTCGTTATGAGGCAAGTACCGTGTACCTCTTGTTGTTTGAAAGCATTTCTTTAGGAGTGACGTTAGACTGTATACCTTGGAGCTAGTTCTAAGGTCTCTTAACCCATAATTTCGAGCCTTTCGTCCGCGTAAGCTTCTGACTAATTCCAGGGTATCACAGACCGCGTCCAGCGAGGAGAAATCCTAAGTGAGGTGCTCAGAATTCGA